ATGGGATACAAATTCTACGAAACTAATTTCAACGATCCAACCGTCAAACTTGTTTGTATATGCTTCGAGATCGCATCAGCAAAAAAATCACAAAAAACAAACATTCAGAGATAAAGTAACGGGACAAAACTTTTCGACAATTATAAAACAAAAAAATCACGATTTAACGGTTATTTTAACTCCGATTTTGATTGTTTTTTATAGCTACACTCCTTGATCCTATGTGAATACAATGAATGAATTCGATCTTCAATTTAAAATATTGACACTAGTGGATACCACAAAATCTTATGTTATACTTAATGAAAGTATAAATAAACTCGTAAGTGTTAGTGAATTTATCGTTTTGATGGGATACGCATCCTACGAAACTAATTTCAACGATCCAACTGTCAAACTTGTTTATATATGCTTCAAGATCACATATGCCAAAAATCGTAAAAAACAAATATTCAGAGATCAAGTAATGAGACAAAACTTTTTGACGGTTATAAACGAAAAATCATGATTTAATGGTTATTTTAACCAAGGTTCTAAACAACGCTAGGCGCTAGTCGAGCGGCGGGTTGGCGCCTAGCGCCTAGACGGTTAGGCAGGGTCTAGGCGGGCGCCTAGGTGGATTTAGGTAAATTTCTTGTATATCTTGTAAATAAGTACATATTAACAATTACAAAAAATTATACTTGTATGAAATTCATGGATAAGATAATAAAAGAAAGATAAAATGCAAAAAAAGTATCCAACAAGTCCAAAATTTAAAAACACATTAAACATATATGTCATATAACCATAGTGAGGAGTATTGTAGGAACCACATAAAATGCAAAATAGGAGGAAAATAAAGAAATAGATTAATGTAAGATACTTAACTGTTAAAAGCCCACGGTAAACATTATGTATTGTGCAATTAATTTTGTAACAATGCAAATTGCTTTGGTATAAATCTGTTAAAAGACCTTTACAAATTCCAAAACCAAAAAGCCACGATACTAACCCCCAAAAAGGCTGACCAATTGTAAAAAAGGCATGCAAATTACAAATTGCTTTTTATAACCCCCAAAACGAAAAATCACGATTTAACGGTTATTTTAACTCTGATTTTGATTTTTTTTTACAGCTACACTCATTATCCTATATGAATACAATGAACTAATTTGATTGTCAATTTAAAATATTTACACAAGTGGATATCACAAAATCTTATGTCATGATGATCGATGATAATTGAGGATTTTGTAAAAGGAATAACATGTAAGCTTTGAGTTCAATTGGCAAGGTTTAAACTTTTGAGAAAGGCTTCACAACCTTGAAAACAAAAACTCTTTCATTTTGCATATCCTTACACATTTAATATTTTGTAATAGAATAGTAGTGTATGGATGTTTGTTTTTATTAAGCTCTTATTTTCAAGTGTAGATGTAGTACTTAAGCGACAAATGTGTTTTAATGTTTTGAAGTAATATTTATATGGCAATGTGTGGTATTCGCAAATTTAAGAAAAAATATATTTTTTTCTTAACGGGTCATAACTAGTCGGGTCACTTTACCCATTGGGTAAAGTGACCTGACCTGTTAAGATAAGAGCAACTCCAGCGTTGGAGCCCTCCCCCCAGGCTATGCACTATTCAATCCACCTAATGAACAGTAACTGCCCTTAATGAATAGTAATAGCCCTGGCAATAGCATTTGCATCTCCACCGTTACACTTCAATAGCCCTGGCAATAGGCAATAAAATATTAGAATTTTTTTTTTATTTATAAAATAATACAAAATAATTTTAATTGTAATATTGGATAAGATTTTTAATCGTTCTCATTGCGCTACGTGTCATTATCCGAAGTATTTGCTGAAGATAATTAAGTTCATTTAGTGTGTTTTTTTTGAATTTGGTATGTTTATGTTATTTTATTTGGTGTGTTTTATTATTTGGTATGTTTATGTAATTTTTTTAGTGAGTTTTTAATTATTCCGTATGCTTATGTAATTTTATTTGGTGTGTTTTTGTCATTTCAATAAATATTCTCTTAGTATAAATAACTTACCAAATTAATTTGAATAAATATTCAATAAATTGGAAACAACATAAATAATACAAACAATAAATAATAAATTACAACCCAAAGTGATTGGAAAATTATGGGCTCCGATTACAAAAAGTACTCTATTCATCATCACTTAACCAATTTGTGGTGTTAGGATGATCTTCTCTTGTGGTGCTAGGACCATCTTGGCTTGCTATCGCTTCTCTTGCACGCCTCCTTCGCACCACGTCCGCTTTCTCTGACTTCCAAAAAAATTTAGAATTTGGAGACTTCCCTTCTAAGGGCGTGTTCAGAATCTCACGATCTCGTTGAGCCCGTCTTTCTTCTCTAACATGTTCCCTTTCTTGCCTAAGTAGCTCTCTTTCTCTCTCATTAGCCTGAAATTCTCTCTCAATAGCTGCAACTTTTGCGTCCTCTCTAACCTTATCAGCCTTATATTTCGCCAATTCCCTCGACAAAGTCAATTCACCTTGGCGAGTAAGTTCTTCCATGAACTTTGCATAATCATTCTTGGAAGCACTCCCTTTTCTCTTTGAAGCCTTCTTACCTTGAGGCCTAATTGGATAACGGGTCGAACCCGACGCTTGTTCAGGGAGGGGCGTTTCGGGCACTTCTTCTGCATCATCTTCATGAACATGCAAGACATGATTGGGTGTAGAGTGTAGAGGGGTGTTGTTCATGTGCACTTCTGGACCGACTGGCACAACTTTAAATTTAGGACAATCTTGGACAATATTCCAACATTCCCATCGGTTGAGTGATTTATTTTTGCTTTTGGTTTTGGCAGTGTACTAAGCTTGTGCTTGAAGTTCCTACACAATGAAAATAAGTAACAAATAAATAATACAAATAAATAATTATAATGAAAATAAGTAACAAATAAATAATACAAACAACATAATTATAATGTAAGTAGGTAACAAATAAATAATACAAACAATAAATAATAAATTATGTAGGTAACAAATAAATAATACAAACAATAAATAATAAATTATGCAGGTAACAAATAAATAATACAAACAAATAATTATAATGTAAATTTGGGTATCAAATAAATAATATATTGTTACCTGATCCGAGTAATTTTCCCCACTTCGAATATTACTACTAGCTTGTGCCAATGCGTCTCTCCACGTACTAAACGATTGGCTAAGTAATTTCCAATCACTGGACATCGATTCTTTGGTTCTTTTCCCACCAATTTTCTCAAGATAATTGGTATGAATAAGACTCCACATTTCTCGCAACTGCATCTCATTACCCGTAAACGAACTATGAGTAACTTCAACCCAGCTAGTACACAACGCAACATCTTCAATAAGCGACCAATTCGTACCTGCACCAATGGTCATTTTGTTGAAAAAAAATGGATTCAAACTTTGAGACAAAGAAAGGAATGTGATTGAAAGTAGTTGAGAAAATATGAAATTGTTGTGTAAGGTAGATGATAATGAGAAGGTATTTATAGAAAAGTAAAAACAATTTTTTTCAGATGTTTCAGATTTTTTCAGATTTTTCAGATTTTTTCAGACTTTTCAGATTTTTTTTTTGAATTTTTTTGAATTTTTTACAATTTTTTAAAAAATTTTATTCAATTAATTAATCTCTGCCGTTGGATATAAAAAAATTTGAATTCCAACACTCCAGATTATGCCACATGTCACAACGGTAACTTTTCTTAATTTTAAAACTATTTTTTTCTTTTATTTTTTTATTTATAAAGCATATTAATATCCACTGTTTATCTCAGATCGAACGGTGGATATTAAATAAGACTTTTTTTTTTGACCGTTGAGATCGAACGGTCCAAATTAAATAACCGTTGAGATCGAACAGACCGTGGAAAGCCACGTGGCTTCCCAACGGTAATTGAAAAAGTTTTTTTTTTTTTTTCTGATTTTGTGTTGGCTTTTTTGATTTTGTGTTGGCGACGCGCCCCCACGCGCGAGTGGGGTGCACGCGCCTGACACAAAAAAAATTAAATAATGCCTGACGCCAGGCTGACGTCACATGGCCTCAAGCTCTCGGGCTGGCAATTCTCCACGGGCCCGGAGCTCGGGCCTCCACCTTCACTCGGGCTTGCCCACGCTAGAGCTGATCCACCGGGGCCTCGGGCCCCTGTTCTGTCCCCTGTCCCCCGAGCATTTGCCCACGCTGGGCTTGCTCTAATGGATGAAACACGACACAACCCGTTAAGATAACAAGTGTTACATGAAAATGACATGAACACGATAGACACGACCCGTTTGCCAAGCCTAGTGTGTGCCCATATGCTAGTACTATTATTAAGAGAACCCTCGTTGTCAAATTTTTCCCCTTTTTGCCTATTTTGCCCTCACTTTTGATACATACTATTGACAAAAGAAGGGCAAAATATTAATTTTGTACTTTTTGATAAAATGACAATCATATTCCTATTTTACCCCCTTTTTTTTTTTTTTTTTTTTTAGAAAATGACAATCATATACTTATTTTTTCCAATTTTACCCTCACTTTTGATACACAATATTTACATAAGGAGGACAAAATAGGAAAAAAAAAAAGGGAAAAAAGTTGACAAGGAGGTTTCTCTTAATAACACTTTTGATACACAATATTTACATTAGGAGGAAAAAATAGGAAAAAAATGAGAAAAAAGTTGACATAAAGGTTTCTCTTAATAATAGTATAGTATAGAAAAAAATATGCACTTATTAAGAGAAATTGTTCACGAACACAAAATGTGTGCTATGTGCTAGTTATTTATAAAAAAAACTAGTGATTTTGCTATGGTTGTCCACCCTTTCAAGGTCCAGAAAGATATACATTTCAATCTCTCCTGATTATCATCGTGAGATTGACTAGCGCTGGGAAAATACAAGTCTAGAACCAGATGTTTAACAAAAAACCCCTTTTTTAAATAATTTACGCGCATTAATAAGAAACAGATGTTTAACAAAAAAAAAAAGAAACAGATTGGGAGAGGAAACCAGCGGTCGGTTGGAGAGAAAATAAAGATAAGAAAATAAAAAAAAAGGAGAGAGAAAGAGAGAAGCACTCTGGAATTTTCTTTCCTTTGAGGACCAGGAATCCCAATCCCTAAGGGACCGCCTGGTTTTCCTTTTTCTCCTCTTTCTTCTTTGTTTTTGTTGTCTTTGCTTTCCTCTCAATAAATACGTTCACCCTTACAATCCTCTTCTCCCCAAATTCGTCAACAAACGAATCGATTCTGCGATCGCGTTCTTAATTCCGTTTCCAAAACAGGTATTTTGTTTGTGTCATTAATTGGATCTGTTTGTTTTGGGCGAAAATTTGTATGATTTGTCGATATTTTGGTCGGATTCGGATATTTGATCCCGGAAATTTTTTGAATAATTGTTTTGTTTTCCTTATTGTTTTGGGATTGCAGAGGATTGAGATCGTAATGGCGGAAGAGCATCGCTGCCAGCCACCGCAACTATGCGTTAATAACTGCGGCTTTTTCGGAAGTCCGACGACGCAGAATTTGTGTTCCAAATGCTACCGTGACTTGCAGCTCAAGGAACAACAGGCGCTCGCGCTCAACCAAACTTTGATATCCTCCTCTTCTTCTCCCTCTTCCTCATGTCCGCTTTCATCTCCGCTGGTCTCCGTCTCGCCCTCGCACGAGGCGCGGGTGGAGCGTGTGATCGAAGCGAAGGAAGAAGAGAAGGAGGCGGCGCCGTCCGCAGGGGCGCATGCAAACAAGTGCAAGACGTGCCGGCGGCGCGTCGGGTTGACGGGGTTCCAGTGCAGGTGCGGGATGACGTTCTGTGGGATCCACAGGTACCCGGAGCAGCACGCGTGCGGGTTCGATTTCAGAGGGATGGGAAAGGAGCAGATCGCCAAGGCCAACCCGGTCGTCAAGGCGGAGAAGCTGCAGAAGATCTGAGAGGAGGCGGCCGTCAATATCGTTATTGTCAGGGTTGTAATGGTCATTTTACTTTTCGTGGTTTGGGAAATTTGGGTCGGGGTTGGTTGGCGAGTGGTGTGGGAGGGATAATGCTATTGCTTGGTCTTTGTAAATATTTAATCATAATTTAATGGTTTCTGGTTTTATTCTTTGACAGCATTGTTTTAAACTGGTTCACTTAACAAAATCTATCAATTGATAAAAATAAAATAAAAAATAAAAAATTATCCATATTCATTATGTAATCGCCTAAATTGACGTCTTGACGTTTCATCTTCCAAAATGACACACACTTGAGAGAAAAATACTAAAACCCAATACTCCAAGAGCATGTCTATGGGAATGAAAGAGTATGGTGCTCTTCAATTTTGGGTCGGTAAGAAATAAAAATGAGTGTGTGAGCCGTACTACCCATTCGCTTCTAGCACTTGCATGAATCCAAACATGCACGCACTTGGATTAGTATTAAATGAAGACTAGACATGACCTCTCGCTTTGCAGTTGAGATACTTTTGTCGAACTCGCGTACTGGATACGTATAATCCAATGCAACGAACCTCGTTAACTAAGCAGAATATTGAGCCTAGTGGCTTGGCAAAGCGAATCACCTTCCTTAAAACCTAATAAGACTTACTTCAACTTTTGGAGTAAAACTCAAATTTTAAGTTTTAAATTTATCCCAACTTACTCCAACCATTGAGCCAAATATAAGTTAAAACTCAAAACTCATTTATAGGCAAATTTAGCCCAAGATTTCCTGGGTTAGTGCGGCTGACACATCATATATATATATAGTTATATATTTATAAATTAATTGAATCCAACAATAAGATCTAATTTGATCAAATCTAATGGTAAAATATATATATATATATATATATATATAATGGTCCAAATTTAAATTTAATGGCTAAAGTAATTAAAAAAAATTATTTTATGTGTTTCATATTCTTTCGTAGTGTTCCACGGGTTTCATGGTATCGGTTTAGTGATTTTTAATATTTATCGGAATCTAAATATTTTTAAGTTAAAATGTTCATAAAATTAAATTAGGATAGTCAACATAATTTTTTTTTAAAAGTTACTTTAAGAAAGAAATTATCCTAAACTCATTCTTTAATCATCTCGAGCTAAATATTTAATTTAAAAGGTTTGGAGAAGAAAAACTGTTTCTAGGCTAAAAATTTTAGATTTTAACCCAAGGGTGGAGATGGTCTAAGGCATGATGAATGATTTTTTTTTTGAAGAACAGGCATGATGAATGATTTAGCCTAACATGATTAGACAAGGAATGATTTTGTAGAATCATTAAAGTTATAACAATCCTTACGATCGTGCCTAGTCGTAACTCGCAAGGCGTTTGATGTAGTTAAGAGCCTTTCCTAAACGCAACTCTTAATTTGATTCTTCCATCATGTCTCAAGTCAAACGTCTATTAACTTGATGAGTGAGAGATAAAAGGGTTAAACCAACTAGTCACGAAACGATACAAGTGTTTTAATGAATCATTTTTAAGTTCAAACTTGCCATTATACACAGACATGCTAATGCAAAGTAATTGTTCATCTACCAAGAAACAAAGAGCTTTTATATTCATTCCATCCGCTAAGTCCTTAGACCATTTTCAAAAGAGATGTTAAATTTTAAACCTAAAATTTAAATTGGAAGGCTTATGTGGCATTTTGGCATTTTTTAAACTTTTGATCTCCAACCGATATGTCAAATTTTAACCATAAAATAATAATTCATATGTATTTTCTTTGCATTCGGAATGAAAAGAAACAAAAGGATAATGGTTTAAACCAATAAAAAATTAATCAAAAGCATTTAATAATTAATTAAAAAAAATTGAAGGTGCTTTCAAATTTGGCAGCAAGAGGGAGAGATGTCAGTCCATGTCATGCCACATCAGATTTGGCTTCTCGGTTGGAAAACATTAATGCTGTCTTTTGTTATCGTTATTACTGATTTGGACATTTTGATATCTCATTTGGAGATGCTCTTAGGCATCAAAGAGCTCTTGACTCACACCACACTGGTGTGACAAAATCTACTACCGTTTCATTTCTTGGTTGCAGGAACACTTGTTCTACGCTTGTGTGAAATTAATTCCTCACAAAATAAGAATCAATTAATTGTGTCGAGCCCAATTTTCTGTTACCAGTCTTGTGATCTCATGAAAGCTCATCGATCCAAGACCTTTTTGATCAACAGAAACCAAGTATCTTGAACCAAAGCTTTAACTTGACTCTCAATTACAAAGTCGAGTGCGTAACGTGTATCGCTTGTGAAATTTGGCAATGCAAACGTGAACTCGATAGATTAATGTTTATATATTGGAGCATACCTTTTTCGCTTTACGTTGATCATACTGTATGGTACAAAGTACAAACTAAAGGGCTAGTCTAATAAACATTTATCCTAAGAATATATATGGAGAAAGCACATCATCATTTGGAAGAGGACTGTAAACTGAAATTTTATGGTCATAGAAAAGAAAAGATAGGGAACTGATTTTCACTCTTTTTAACTTCTCATACCTCCTTTTTTATTTTTTTTACTATCGATTGAATAAATCAAACGGAAACAACATACATAATTAAATATAAGTGTGTGTGAGGCTAAAAGGGTGTGTTTTATCATTTTCTTAAAATATTCAATGAGAAAGAATGCACAAATGAACGTTCTTTTTAAATGTGAAAGCTAGTTTGTGGGCCTATGGCTAGAGCTTATTTTTTTAATATAATGATTTTGGACATGATAATTTAGGATAAGACACACAATTTACGAAATATATATAATTTAATATCAAATTTGTTATTTCAATGTGTCGAACCTAAGAAATTTTACTAAATTGTAGTGCTAGTGGCAACCAGTGGCGAAGCCGCATAAGAGCAAGAAAGTGCGGTCGCACCTCTAATCGTTACCCTAAGAGCAAAAATTTGCCCCTCTGATTCCTTTGAACATGCAATGAACGGTTTTGTTTTCTACTTTTTCTACCCCAAAACACGATGATCTTTATTGGGGGACTTTTAGAACGAGGTGGACTTGCGCTTTGATGACGTCCTCTTGTCTCCCTTGGTTCAATTTTGTACTAAATCTTGGAATATCTCGAAAGAATTAGCACATCTTAGGAAATATCCCGTTTGGATCAATGACTTGAAGATAGCATGATTAAGCAAATGATGGCTTGCTCAAGTAAGGTATGGTGTGGAAGCTAGAAGTTCATCAGTTTAGCATGTTGAGAGAGAGAGAGAGAGAGAAAGAGTTGGCATGGTTGCATGGTGTTCTCTATTGGATAATTTGGATTTCCTAGGGTGGCAGCAAGGCTTACGATGGCTGGAGTACTCAGAGGGAAGCTATGGAAAATACTAAGGTTGCATAGTGATATTTTTTCGGTGTTTCTTTGGCTCTATGTGTTATGCTAAGGGATTGGTGGGTTTCTCTTAAGGTTCACAACCTATATTTGTAGTTCCTTTCCAAGGAATCTCTAGTTAGGGCTTGTTTCTCCCTCCCATTTCTCCTTAGTTCTCCTACTACCCCTTATTTTAGTGTAAGGAGGCTAGACTCTAAAACTTGTAGCATGTCTTTTTCCCGAGGCATGGCTTTCCCGGGTCAGCTTTCCACATGCGCTACTTTTGGTTGCACATCTAATGGCTTTCGCGCATTGAACTTTTGCATAAACTAGGAAGGGAATGTTAGCATTAAATGTCTATTATGATGGACTTTCATGTGAACTTAGAGCTAGAATCTAGTTTAGTCTTAACTGAGCTGGTTAGCTTGCTAGGGAAAAGGGTAAACTAGGCTGGTTCTCTCTCAATACCTGCCTATGTGGACCTCAAAGATTATGGGCTTGGATCTTTGCCCCAAATAGCCCAAAGTCTTCCATAATTTTGACTCCACATAGGCTTAGTAAACTTCCATAACCATCCACACCATAATTCACTTCATAAGACTCGAGCATGTGACTTGGGCTTGTTTGAGCGTGACAAATAGGCATGGGCATAGGGTGATTTATATAAATGTTTGGCTTAATAACCGTAGCATGGCTTGTCCATGAATCTATTCCTTCCTTGATCTGCATCTTTGCATGTATTTAGGCTCTACTTGAGCTTGTTTAGCAATTGGGCTTCGAGACTTGATTGGGCTATCATGTGACATTTTTGGGCCTCAACACTCTTCTTCTCTCCAATCACATGACTTCATATGACTATGACCCCATTTGTTGAGATCTATCCCGGTTTTCAAGAACACCATCAACCATGGTTGGTGACTTTATCAAAAACCCGCCATCCCCATTTCTAATTTTTGCCTTTTCTCTCCAAATATTGAATCTTTCTACTCTTGTGCTTGTTGGGTTTTGTTTGTTTGACAGAGTTGATCAAGAGCTTGTATGTGTACGGATTGGATGAGGGGAAGAGAAATAAGGTGGAGAGGGAGTTTGAGATCAGAGAAAATGAGGTGTACGTGGAGCTGCCAGCTGCTTCGCTTCTGAGATTGATGAAATTTGCAGCTTCCTAAGTGCTCCAAGGGCATGTCAAATGACTGTTGGGTTTGCATTTTATCATTTCATGAAAATTCACCTCCTGATTTTACACGCATTCCCTCTATTCTTTTAGCCTAATGAATTTAGTTAGGGGTTGTCATTATTTGTGTTTGTGTTTGAGATGTACTAATTGAAGTATTACCCAATTATGAATTTGTAAAAATGTTGTTAGAATGATTAGCCTGATGTTTAAAAATTGGTTGTCTACATTCTTTGGGACTTTTTGTTATGACCCTCTCCTTGACTACTCCTGACTTCACCATTGGTGGCAACTATAGATTCTTCTTTAGAAAAAAAAAAAAACAATAAAGAAATTATATTTCTAGCTATATTCTTTTCCTAGTTATTTTTAGGGAATTGTTATTGGCACTCCAAAATTCTCATTCTACACTCCAAACTTTCTATATTTAGAAAGAAAAATACACTTGTGAGGAGTGTAGAATAAGATTTTTGGAGTGCCAATAACACTTCTCTATTTTTATACATATGTTAATATCTACAGTCTGAGGGTAGAGGAATGAATTAAGCCTCATACTGAGCTAACTATAATCATTGATTCGAAATCTTCAAATGGCAAGCATCAAACTTAAAAATAAGTGA